TCAGGAGACAAGAGACCACTGAGACGACCCCAAGGTCGAGTAGGACGACAGATGCATAAATGTTACCCAATAAAATTTAGAAATATTTTGGCGGGATACTTGGGAAAAATATGTAAAATATAGCTCTGGTTTTTAAAATCACTTTTTATGATTTTTTTTTAAATTTAGTGTATAAACATGACAAATAAAAAATAAGAGATTTCATTCTCCAAACCTTACACTTTAAGCTGGTAGAAGATTCATTTTAATACATTTAGCGGAATTTAAATGCAATCGGAAATTTTATCTAAATTAAAAAGAAAAATAATTTACTTTATATTAAACTTTTTAATGATTTTCCTGTACAGTAGATCATGAGAGGTTCTAAGTTTACAAGGATTATCCTCTTTCAGGTATGTCAAGGTTATATCTAATAAATAAAAGAGTTTGAAATTTGGACATCCTGTCGAACAGATTCTCGGAGGCGCCAGCTTCCAAAAATAAACTTTTTCTCCTTACCACCACGCTCCATTTATTTGAAAGATTGCCGTTCCTTAGAACTTTTAAATTAATTATTAAGAAAGAACTTCCTAGGGGCAAATGGGCGAGACCTGTCGGTCGTAGGCGCGTAAAAGTAAAAAAAAAAATATGTAGAAATCGAGAGTGGAACTGATGACACAAACTTATGCTCTTGATGTTGACAGATTAACATAAGAAATGAGATAATTTGAGCATAACGAGAATTATTAATTGACTGCGGTTGTAGATGGTTCATAAATAATCAGTCATGTTTATTAACCGTGGTGTTGCAGCTACTAGAACCCGACAAAGCAAGTTTTAAATTTACATCACATTGTATGTATCAGTTTACGATGATTATATGAGATTATAAAATTTATACAGAATTTATTGCTGCATTATTTTTTATTCAGAACAGGTTATTCATTTTTTCTCTCTAAATAATAACATTAATTCGATATTAAGGTATTTGATGGTCTGCGAACATAAACAAGATACTTGAAACATTTGATCTAACCCAAATAACAAGTAGTATATATTTTTGTTATGTACCAGATTTGTCTGCGAAACGTACCAGATTTCATAGAAATGTACCTGATTCTATAAATTGTACCATATTTTTCGAATTGTGATGATTTGGTTCAGTGAAATGCAAAAAAAAGATTTTATCGAGAACATAAACACACAAACAAAAAAGAACCCAATAATATATTTAACCGTCAAATGAAAACAGGCGAAAAAAGAAAAAGTACTAGATTTTGCTTCGAATGCACTAGAGTACTAGATTCCTAAATAATGTACTAGATTTAGTACAATTGTACTAGACTGGCAACACTGATGACCATATTTAAATATACAAGGTGGTCCATAAACGAGATGTTGACCGAATCTATACATTTTTAAAGCAAAACACCCTGCAGGTAGTTATACATATTTGATTGTTTTCAGGTCGTCAAATAATTTTAATTGACTTCATTCATTTTTGCAATGGTGGGTGTGTCAAAACGCGATTTTTTTAATTTTTTCAATGGAATTCATTGTATTAATTAATTGGTGATATAACATTTAAAAAATTGAGAAAATCGTAACTATTTTGACACACCCTATATACAACATAGCAAATGAATGAAATTGAAATTATTGTTCGACGATGTAAAAACAATCAAATATGTATAACTACCTGCGAAGGGTGTTTTGGTTTAAAAATGTATAGGTTTGGTCAGATAATCGTTTATGGATCACTCTGTATATTTATGAATAATTGTTAAATATGGTTATACAACTTTTATATTAATTTTTTTCGTATTTCCTATTATAAAACTGCTATCGATCAATTACGCACTCATGGGACATGTTATTGACTAACATATTGATATCGTTGGATATTTAAATTTATAAGGAATTTTATGCTTAAATAATATACAGGTTGCAGCATTTGAAAAAATTAGGTTAGATCTGCATTACGTCACAAACGAGTTTAGATCTGCATTACGTCACAAGCGTAGGTTAGGTTGGCAACACTGTTGGCAGATGCCATAAGTTAGAATAATTTTTGACATCTGTCACGATAGCCGCCATCTTGCTTTGCTAATGACCCGCAAGCCGAGTCGCACCACTGGCAGGTGGTGCGACGTCTATTTGACAGGTTGCGCCATCTCGTGGCGATTCTTGACTCCTGTTAGGTTAGGTTGGCAACACTTTTGACTGTTGGCAACACTGGATTGACAGCTTACAGATTACCAGTTGACAGTTGCCAACACTGGATTGACAAATTAACAGTTGGCAACACTGGATTGACAGCTTACAGATTACCAGTTGACAGTTGCCAACACTGGATTGACAAATTAACAGTTGGCAACACTGGATTGACAGTTGACAAATTGACAGTTGGCAACACTGGATTGACAGCTGTCAGATTACATCTGACAGCGCATGCGCAGTTTGAAAAGGGGCGTGGCTTAAAAAGTGGAGGCGGTCCTCCAAAGTAAGGGTATGCCTGCTATAAAAAAAAATTGAAATCATTGTAAACCTACCTAAAATATAATTTAATTTGGGGTCTGCATCATTCTTTAATTTTATAAAAAAAAATAATTTATTGGCAACCCTGCAATATTTGTTAATAAAATTCTAGGGTTAAATGTAGTATTACCGAAGTAAAATACTGGGTTTTTTGTTTAAAAAATATACCTTTTTATTTGACAGACAAAAACACAAAACACTGTATGTCTAAAAATATCTTTAAAATACCTATTTTTGAAATTCATATAACTTTTATTTAGAAATTGTTTACGTGTCTATAACACAAATTGAAATATTGAACAATTACGCACTAATGGGACAACCTGAATATATTATTCACAATTACCTAAGTTATTACTTAAACTACTTAACTCTTAAAACAGACTTAAATTTTTAGAAAAACTACTTCGGCTCAGCAGACCCGACCATTTGCTTCGGCAGTCAACGTGTTTTAAATGCTTTTTTATTCAATTGTTGCTTAATTTGTATTTAGTTACTAATATTTCAAAAATGCTTATTTTTCTTATTGATTAATCTAAAATGAACACGTAATTTTTATTAATAATTCAAAATAGTACTGTAATTCTGAATTGATAAAAAAGTGAAAATATGAAAATATAAATTACGACTCTACAAATACAGTAAAATTTTATGATTAATTTCTTTTTTCTTACAAAAACATTATCTCAGCAATATGTCATAAGTTGCAAACACACAGTATGTCTATGTAAGTTGACAGCATATAGAAAACTTTTTTTATTATTCATTTTGCGAAAAAAAGTTATTTTTCATAAAAATTATGCATGGTCTAACAGAAAATGCAACCACCCGATATCAAATTTTATCAGTTTGTCAAAAAATATAATTTTGCTCAAGATAAAATACCTTTATTTTCTACACACCCTGTATACGACTGGTAAAATTTGATATCAGGTGACTGAATTTTAGATTTTGGACAAAATTAATAGACCATTCAATTGTTTATGAAAAATAAATTTTTTTCTTAAAATTCTTAAAAAAAGTTTCCATATGCCGCCAACTTATGTAAACACACTGTACATATAAATGAGATTAAATTTTTTGAAAATAATTTTTACTGATGCAGATCTAAATAAAGTATTGTGGGTAAATAAGGTAATAAAAACACTGTTTTATTACATTTTTCTTTTTTTTATTTGGCAAGACCTTTCGGTATATACAGGGTATTCCATTAAGAATGGGAGCAACTGAAGATTAACTGATTAGAAATAGGCCGATTCTAAATTCGGCAACGTTATTGGAATAATAACATACACCTATCAACAAAAAAATGAGTTAAATAAGCTTTGCCAGTGGCGTACTTCATGGGTAAGTAACACCTTTTTCCCTTCTAAATTTTAGCCCACTGTCCAAAAACTTTTGATGTTTTTCAAATAAAGTTGAGTTAGTTTTTGAAATATTCGCACATATTTGGAAATTGCGATTTTTTTTTATTAAATTTCTAGAAAGAGTAGAAACATTATTTATTTAAAAAACATCAAAAAATTTAAAATTTTATGTCCAAATAACTTTTTGGATAGTGACGTAAAATTTAGGAGGGATGCGTTATCACCAAAAACGTTTGCCAAATTTAATAAAACTATTGTGAGTAATAAAAAAAATATAGCCATAAATATTTTTTGGATTTTAACACCGTAATTCTGAAACGAGAAACATTCTATCTAAGCATGATTTGATTAGTTGTCTTATTTTTAATCAGAGAATCGTCAGTTGTTCTACGTCCCATTCTTAACGAAACACCATGTATAGTATAATAGGTCCCTACGTAATGATACGAAGACCTTTATCCTTTGTTGACTGGACACAAGAATGAACTACTAAGTAAATATACCGATATTCCGAATCTAATCCAAAACTTTTATTTAGGTACCTGCTACTCGTTTACTTATCATCGCTTAGTGGCTAGGGGTGATGAATTTGTTATTTTATAACAGTTACCGTTTAGAATTAATAAAATTATCACGCCATCTGTTGAACAAAAGAACTATTAAATATGGAATATTGCTCCTTATGTTGAACAAAAGCATTCTTAATTTATGATACATAAATGACATATATCAAAATTAGTTCATGTTACTAATATTGGGAGTGGGTACTGTGGTCTTAGGGAATTAATAATATAAATATAAAACGAAATAAACTGAATCAGAAAAATTAATAATTGGTGGTAAAACGAAGAAGATCTGTTATTTTATCAAAATAATTAGTGACTAAATTTGAATACAATCATTGTGACAAATTCTAGTTCAAATTCACAACTAAAATTTAATTATTTAACACGTAAAAACATCAAATTATTACACCATCCACCATATAGGCCTGATTTGGCACTCAATTACTTCTCCACGTTTCTTTATATTAAAAGTAAAATGCGCATTCTACGTTTCCTTCATCGCTTGAAGAAGTAACGAATAATTATTATTAAAATATGTAAAAAAGTTTACCGTGAATGGAGTTACTAGTGGAATGTTGGAGAGAATACAGGTACTCCATGTGTGGAGGCAACCGATAGGCTGGATGCAGTTCCCTCCCAAGAAGTAGACCGCTTCCAGGACTTCCACCAACACTGAAATAAAATAAATCATGTTAAAAATGTCAAAAATTAATGAAAATTTCTAAAACTATTAATTTATTGTTTAAAATTTGTAAAACAATGCTAAATATTAAAATTTTACACTTAGTAGCCGCGAGTGGATATAAAATTACGCCATTGTTATACCGTATAGAGAGACTAATTTGTAAAGTAATGACATGTTAAAATCAAAATGTCATAATTTTGCACTTTCGTCATTGTTTTACCGGAACAACGATTATAATTTTAGATTCTATTAAAAAATATTAATGAAGTAATCTTAATACATTATTTCTTAATACATATTTTTTCTATAATAATATAAAATGTATCTTTTCTATTAGCAAATATTAATGAAGTAATCTTAATACATTATTTCTTAATACATATTTTTTTTATAATAATATAAAATTTATCTTTTCAAAATTGTAATTCTTAGAAATCCGAAATAAAAAATCAACATCAAAATAATTTGTAGTCACTAATGAACGCACACATGTGCTTTAATGGTTTAGGAAACCCGCCATTCAAAATAAATAACGCTTTTGATTGACTCATTTATTTCTCAATTGAGAGTGTCTATCCTTGATTAAAGATAGGGCAATGACTTGTTTGATAAGTCAAGTGCAGTGAAACTTTCGGTGGAAGGAATATCGGTTAATCGGAGTTGTTTTAATAATAAATAAATGTGTGCATCTATTTACTGTTTTTGTAATAATAATACTATATTTTGTTAATAATAAATACAATAATAAAAAAATTGTTTTATTGATGTGGTATTTCGATTAGTATGATTGCAAAGCAAACTTCTTTCGATACAAATCATTGTCAGCTATTATCGTTATATTATTATTATCATAATCATTATATACGTTTAAACATCGATATTTAACAGTCCAAACCATTAAAAAATAACTGTAAAAGACAATGCAGAAACAAAATTATTGATGAAGAAAGAATCTCGCTGTTTGAAAGCTACTAAAAATTAGTAATTATGATACACCGAGTCATTAACTCAAATTACAAATAAGAATAATACGATAGTAAATTCTTGCACATCTAGTAGAACTGAAAAAACACAGAAAAGACATTCGACAACTATTTCGTATAAGTAAAGGGTGAAAGCTTAGAATATATATAGTCAGGAAGGAGGAATCCTAATCGACCTTGGAATCGCGATGGTATCTAATTTTGACAGTGAACTAGACGAATATGGCGACAAGTGTTTTCGGTCTACCAGTGACGTACTGTCATAAAGGGGCGTAGAAAAGAAAATAATAAATTCTCATTGACATATTATCTAAATTTACCGATTTCTCTTATTTCAACGAATTGCTATTTTCTTGCAAGAAGTTTGCACATTTATTTATTAACCTTTATTATGTGAATAAATTTTACTTTAAAATTGAATGTTGGGTGGGATAAATATGGGAAAATATTTTTGGGATAATTTATAGAGGGACTTCATTTGAAAAATCAAAGCAATAATGTCTTAAAAAAAAATCTGATGTGACAACACATGACTTTCCTATCTAGTTATTATAGGCTTTTTCCAGTTATTTTGTACAACCTATTGCAGCACCTCTATAAATGTTTAGAGGATAAACTAAATATATACATGTTCCACATAAATCTACCTCGAAACAAGGGAAATACACCTATGGTTAGGTTAGATAGATCTAAATATCTATCTAACCTAACTGTAGATCAAATTAGGTATTTTTTTCTGTATTGCTGTATTTTTTTCATAGGGAAATACAGCAAAATATTTAAATTTAATTCAAATTAGGTATTTCCCTAAAAAAATACAGCAATATACTCAAATTATGTATTTTTTTCATAGGGAAATACACCTATGGTTAGGTTAGATAGATCTTAATATCTATCTTCTTCATCACCTCTAAGATTGTTTATTGCATCTTGAATACGTTGCCAGAGTTGTTCCTCATTTTCTACAGGTTCCCTGTAAACTGTGGATTTCAGATGTCCCCATAAAAAGTAATACATCGGTGTTAGATCTGGGGAACGTGGTGGCCAGTTTACAGGTGCGTCATTACCTCTGCCTATCCATTTGGGTGGATATTGTTCATTCAAGTGGTTTCTAACGTTTAAAGAAAAATGTGGTGGAGCTCCATCTTGCATAAACCACATATCTCTCCGAAGTTGGAGAGGTAAATCTTCTAACAATTCTGGCAACGTATTTTGTAGAAAATCCAAATAATTTTCTCCAGTTAATCTTCGTGGAAGTATGACAGGACCAACAATGAAATTACCAATTATTCCAGCCCACACATTAATTTTGAATTCGTGCTGAAAATGGTTTACCCTTATTGCATGCGGATTTTCAACGGCATAAACATGTTCATTATGGGTATTAGTTATACCTCTTCTTGTAAAACCCGCTTCATCGGTAAAGAGAACCTTCTTGACAAAGTTTGGATCTCTTTCTCTTTGCATATTAACAAATCGACAAAAACCCAAACGAATTTGAGGATCATGGACTAGTAATTCTTGTACTGGCTTCTTATGGTATGGATATAGCAATTGTTCTCTAAGCACTTTATGAACGACATCTTTACTTACTCCTAGTTCCCTTCCAATTCGTCTGGTGCTTAATTTTGGATATTCACGTTCTAAAATGTCTTCTTCAACTTCAGGAATCCTTACAAAACGTTATCTTCCATTATCAACAGTGGATTTATGTTTATTCATTATGTTATGCTTAATATGTACCTTTAATAGAAAATTCAGATTAAAAAAGAAATTAAACTATATATTTCGTTTCGTTAATTTACTAGACCTTTTCTTGTAGCTATTATTAAAATTTTATAAAATGTTATATTCATTTAATAGTATAACTGCATCTCACCTGAAGGTATGTTCATATATAATTTGTTTCTTTAAATATTCCCAAAAACGTTTCGTGTCAAAGATTCATTATGAATAGTTATAAAAATTAATAAGAAAACATCCAGCTAATCAAATATTTAATACGGTTTATTCCTGTCATGTAAACCAACATATATAACTGTTTTAAAACTGATGAGGAGCACGACACCCGAGGGTTCAAATATCTTCCAACTCATTTTCATTCGTTTTTTTCTTCTTTTTTTCCATTACATAAACAGGTCTGATCTCAGCGGCTGAGTGAGTATTTATTCAATCTCTTTTACCTACTGCTGATGCGTCCCAAGCTGTTAATTGTGTGGGGTTTTAAAAATACTGCCGTAACTTTTTATGGACGTATAAAAGCTAAATCCAGACTACATTATCAGGTGTGTCGTGAAACAGTCGACCAAATAAACAAGAGAAACGCTTTGGTTCGCTAGATCTTTCGAAGATTTAGCTGTTTAAGTGGCAGGAACGTCGCATAAAACACCTATCGGGTTGTATTCAAATCACCGATGTTCGCTGGCACCGGAGCTTCGTCCGAACTATAAGTGTGGGTCGCTTATAATGCAGTTGTTTCGAAACAAAGAGCGCAAAACATTTTTACTGCCCTTTTCATTAGCATCGGTAAATGTATAATTTGACAATTTGTTTACGATACGACTGTCTCGAATACTCGAGTCTCGACCGGACTGAATTGCTTTTGAATAAATATGAAGGCATCTTGTTTGGACAGCCAATCTCTTGATTGATTTGTAACAGTGCCGTTTGCGAAATCTTATATATAAATATTTATTTGCTATTTAATTTCATGAAACGTCGCTTGCGAAATGTTTATTTCAATAATTTAAGAGGCTCAAGCCGAAAAGTCAAGTTACCTATGTCGTATAAAGCCCTAAAACCTTCCACACTTGGAAATTTTACAAAATTGGCTCAATAAAATGGTGAAAAAACTTTAATTTACAAACTATATTAAAGGAAAATCCATTTTAAATAGTTTATATAAAGAAATAATTTAAAAAATAGTACACAAACTTCTAACTTTGTAATATTTTTTTTAAACATTCTAAATGAATTAAAAAATATATCTTTGGAACACGACAGGTTGTTCAATTCACAAGATAAGCGTATAAATGGATAATTATCATCATAATTTGTTAAATGTCTATTTTCATATGACAATGGTCAATTCCTTGTTCTTAATACAAAAGTAAAGTAAATTAATACAAGCAAGTTCCGGATTATTTATTAAACCTTAAATGAGTAAAATCAAATTTGGTAGATTTTCACAAAACTTTTATTTAAAAAAAAAAATAAAAATTAAAAAATTAAATACCACTACACATGACATGTTGATAGGAGCTGGTGAACCTGTATATTTAGCAGCTGTAATGGAATATTTGGCTGTTGAAGTTGTAATATAAAATAATATATCTGTAAATGTCCAAAGATTTTACATGCGTTTTTTTTTTTCATAATAAACGTTTATTTTTATTATACTTTTATTCATCAATGATAATTCAATTGCGAAATGGTCGAGTTCTTGAGATGGGCGACGTTAAATCGAACGTGGAATATCGCCACCGGACCGACTAGAGATAAGCCTTATTAACACCTACGGTCACGTGAACTTACAGAAATAATCTAACGCCAAGGTGGGTCGCCCCAGACTTAATTGGCATAGTCAAGTAGTCTGTATCAGATGAACAAACGCGTTGGTCGCTAAGTCAACTAGTTTATTCTCTAGAAAAGAAAAGAAAGAAATCAGTGCTGGAGTAAAGTAAAACTTTTAGATTTTATAAGTAATGTTAACTTCATAATTTGACGTTGAAATCAACATGATTACCAGACCTATGAAGAGCCTTTAGAAAGGGTTTGGATTAATTAACAAAGAAATAATAATAGATGTGGTAAAAAAAAGGAGACAATTATATTGAAAACGAATTACAAATAGAATAAAAGTAATGGGAACATTTAGATGCATGATTCTGAAATGTGGGGAGGAAAATACATATCAAAGCCCACAGATCAAGATAAGTGGTTGATATTAGTCAGATGACAGAATATAAATATATTGAAAAAAAAGTAACAGATAAAAAATGATA